ATAAGTTTCCAAAATAAAATATTATAATAAGTTTCCAAAACCTGAAGAAATGTTGCACAACTGTCTCTTATATGATCCTTTTATTATCTATAAAATATTGTAGTATATTAAGTAAATCGGTAAAATCGATAGAGTAAATTAATTATTAACCAAAAGGCAAAAACTTTAAATCTACTAATTTTTAATGTTTACTAAATGTATAGAGACCAAATTAAGAGTTTAGAAATATTTGAGTGTGGAACAGACTTACCATGACATCGTATGGGTCATGACAGCTAGTAGAAAATAAATAACCAAGTTTATACCATTTATAAAATATGAATGTACATTGATATGAAATAAATAACCAAGCTTATACCATTCATAAATTAAATAACCAAGTTTATACTATTTATAAAATATGAATGTAATTCGATATATGAAATATGTAATTTTAAGCACGTAATAATGTAAGAACAGGTTTAATGAAATAAAAAGTCTTGAAACAAAACCTTCATAAGCCTTCATAAGGATGCAGTTAACAATTGCCCAAGATATTTTTTTTTGTTTTTGAGATATTACTTTGAGATATAGCCTTTACTAAACCAAGAGTCTCTATACAGGGGCTTCTAGGGTTGGAAGGAGTACTCTAAGTCAGAGTTAACTTCTCCTATCCCTCATCAAGAAATGCAAGTTCTAACAGACAGCAGGACGTAAGTCAGGTACTAATTTACATGAAGAGTACACAGGAAAAAACAGCAGAGCCACATTTAAAAAGTTTGGAGAAAGTGCATATTGATCATTTAACAGGTTTGAACACATTTAAGTTTTATAGAGCAAAAAAGTGTAAAAATTAGAAAAAATAACATTTATTGATTAATTTATCTAAAGTGTACTTTAAATGAAAATTTTTGTAATTTTTATTAAATTTTTTTTTACCTAACTTTATACAGAGACTTTTATAAATTATCAATATATACTTTTTAAAACTTTTCAAATATTACTATGCTGCTTTCATATGTTACCAGTAACAAAGTGATCATGATGATTCTGATCAATGGACAAATGAATGGACGTAATCAAAACATAATCATAAGTTTATGAAAGTTTCGTTCCATTAATTTTATCATACAAAACTCACTATTAGTCCAGGATCACATGATCTCTTGCGATCTTGCTTTATTATTGATTACTCCTGGATGATAATCACATCTTCTGTGATCTCGCTTAAATTTTTCAGCTGTCCATAAGGAAAGTTTAATCAGCTGCATTAATCCAATTATTATGATCATTTCTCTATTGCCTCTAGTTTAAATGTGTAAGTACTTTAAGCTATTTGGTGCAACAAATTTTCTGGATTTTAAATAGTCCAATCTTGTATATGTTTCAGATGTAATGTGATTGTAGTTCTTTCATGACCTCTTGAAAGGCATAAATATATTTTGCTATTTCATGGCCTACTGTATTACACAGCCATGTATGTTACATTTTAAAGTCCGATTCTATGAGGCCTACATATAAAAAATGATGGCTGCGCAACTATAGAGAAAACATATTATTATATCTTATCTAGACTAAATAGATAGTATAAATATAATTGTACAAGTAGAAATATTATGAACAAAAAAGTTACTATCCATTATTATTATTATTATTTTTTTAATTTCTCTGTCTACTTTTAAAACTTTTAACAGCACCTTTTTGTACAGTGGCATTGTTTATCTTCTGCTTATTTTTAAAAAAAGACATTAATTATAATTTTAAAATTTTTTTATAATTAATTATAATTTTTGTGAAAATCACAAGTAGAACTGTTAAAAATTTTGATAAAACAAAGTTTTTATCAAAAGTATTTTGATAAAACAAAGCTTGATGCATCTTTGACACCTTGTTTAGTTATTAAATTTAAAAGATTATCTTAGACTGCAAAATATCCAAATGTGAAATCCTTAAGTGAAAGTGAAGGCATAGTAAGACCACCTCATTATAGTATTTGTAGATATGGACACATATTTATACTTTTTGCATCTGTAGTAAGCATAAACTTGCAATCGCAATATTTGCTTCTTTTTATCAATTTCTTTGCAATATAACCAGCAATGGTTGTTACAACTTCTTCTGTTTCAGGCGATAGAGTTAATTCTGATATCTCATTTGAGTTTAAATCTAATGTTATTAGTAATTCATCAATTAACATAATTGTTCTTTAAATCTTCATCCCAAAAATTTACAATTAATGGTAACTTCAGGTACTGCTTTTATAACATAAGGAATAGATTTCTTTAAACTAACAATCATAAATGTAACAACTCCTTTGTACAGAGTACCATTGTCATCTGCACCCACATAGACACCACTACAATACTGTACCTGTTTCTGAAGATAAAATTAATCAACTATAACATCTTCATGTATTGAACCTTTCTCACAAAGTGTTTTAACAGCCTTTATTGCATAAACTTCACTTTTTTTATTTTATTTAATAAAGAATTTTAAGGTAATAGATATAATACAAGTAAAATTTCATGTTTGTTTAGATGTATATCTTGATAATAAGGCATGTCTGATCATATCTGCAAAATATTGTGGTTGACCTTTGCTTTATAGTATATTCTACTATTTATTTCTTCAAGAAGTATATTTCTTTTAGGAGAAGCAGGCTTGGTCGGGAAGCGGGAGCGATCACTCTTGAATACTGACCACGGAAATTATATTTAGTTGCGAAAAACTGGACAGGCTTTTTAGCCATTTTGAGAACATTTAAGTTTATGTAAGAAACAAAAAATTTTTGTTTTACGGACATACATGGAAGCATAAAAAACTTAAATGTTCTCAAAACATTTCGGTGCGGAAGAATCAAAGAATATTTGAGATTTCTAACATAAATTGTTTTAAGAATATATTATCAATGCTATGGCTCATTCTCGGAGCCACATCTACAAAGCCGTAAATCTTTTAAACTATTATTATTTGTTTAGAAAAATAAATTTTTTAAATATATATCATTTAAATTGTCAAAATTTTGAAAGTTTATATATTATAGATTTTATTAGTATATTCTTACTTTTTATTTAAAAAGTATGTATTCTTTATGTAAAAGAAAATGTGTATGTTTTATATCGTAATGTATCTTTTAAAGCAATTTTTATGATTTAATTTGTAAACAAAGACTTACAAAAATATTTGCATTTTCAATGAAGTTAATAATAAAAATTAAAGTTATCAAAACTAATTATGTAACAAATATATATAAAGTTTCTGGTTACTAAACACAAACAACGCATACGAAGTAACTCGCAGATGAATAAGCACCGCAATAATATTTAGTTGCGAAAAGCTGGCCTGATTTTTTAGTTGTTTTGTAATTGTCTCTCATCAGTCCAATTAATCTTTAGCGCAATTTTTTTTTTTTTTGAAATGTTCTCAAAACAACTAAAAAATCTGGCCAGCTTTTTAAACTAACTATTATTGCTGTGGTCAGCAGTCGAGAGCGACTGCTCCTGCTTCCGAGAGGCTATGTTTTTTATGTACATTGCAAGTTTTTCTAGCATACTCAAAGTAGTTAACTTGTCAATTTGACCTTTAGTTAATCATGGAGGAAGTGGAACATTATTTCCTTTGTATTGCAAAGCTACACATAAACAATTTTTATTGATTCAAGAGCTGACCGAAATTGCGTTAAAGGATCAAATTTAAAACTGTAATAAATAACACAATTGAGATATTTTTTAAATTAAAAACCTTCTGGTGAATGTTTACTTGCATTTTATACCTCGAATAATGCATTTTTCATTAAAATGCTTTTTACATAAGACAGAATTTGGTGAAGGCACTTAATCACTGCAGTGTACAAAACAAACCCAATAATTTAGCAACTGCTGATTTTTCAACGGAAAATGAAAAGAAGCAACTTTTATATCTTCCAAAGAACTGTTGTATCCAGCTTTACAACCATATGCAACACACTTGTTAACCATAATATTCAGCTTTGCTAATATTAATAAATTGCCTAAAATAGCATTATATATATATATATATATATATATATATATATATATATATATATATATATATATATATATATATATATATATATATATATATATATATATATATATATATATATATATATATCAAATTTAAAACTGTTTTTTTTAATATTGCACTGTCATTTTTTTGTTGCAACCTAGTTCTTTAGTCTTACAATTTTTTAACTTGAAGTCATCAAAATTTTAAAATCTGCCTTAGCCCTTATTTGTAGCACTTGTCATTTAGTCTAATCTGCAATGTTGCTCCTAGAATTCCAAAATGTATTGCAGCAGGTCTTATTAACATTTTCAACAAAGTTTATATATTTGTCATAATCAATGTATATTTAATACATCATATCTTCAAATGTGATGATATTTCAAAATTTACACATGAAAATGCTAATTTAATAATGAAATTTGATTCTTACTGTTTTAATTATGTAAATAAATAAGTATAAAATACTTATATGTTGGCTGTGTTTTTATAGACACAATTAAAGTCACATTTGTAAAATATATTTTTATATCTATCAGAGATAAAATTAGGATTTAAGGAGTGGGTGGAATACACTGGATATCAATTGGCTCTAACTTTATCCTTTCTATACACGATTTTATGGCTATCAATTAATTAAATATTACTTTTTTTTGAAATTAACTTTTTTTTTGCAGATAAAAATTTAAATTGAAGTAATCTTATTAGAATTTGCCAACTTCTTTTCCAAACTTCTTTTTGCTTATTTTTTGTTTTATGTTTTTACTTTCTTTTTTTCTTGTTTATGTTCCTTCCAAAAAACAAAAAACTACTTGACATAAACATGAAATATTTAAAAATATATACAACTCTAACAGATATTTTGAGAACACAAATTTCATTAAGGTTGCCATGAATAAACTTTATTTAAAAAAAAAAGTAATATGGTGACTAAACTTATGTAACAAAAACAATACTATTAATTTTCAATAATTTATGTTTATAATTTAAAATACCTGTTATCGGAACAACGACCATTCCAAAAAGTTGATTAAATAATCCTTGAAGAAAAACAGCATTGAGTTCAAATCCAAATTGAAATTTACTATTAATACAAAATAACAACAATGCAACAAAAATTCCTTGTGTTTGAGAAAAAACCATTCGGTAAACTCCAAGATACAATGTTAACGGAATAAGTGAAACAAGAAAAACAATAACACAACGAAAGATACACAGTGGAGATCCAAACCTTAAAAATCAATAAATATATAAATATAAATATTTAAATGTATATATATATATATATATATATATATATATATATATATATATATATATATATATATATATATATATATATATATACATATACATATATATATATATATATATATATATATATATATATATATATATATATATATATATATATATATATATATCAGGCTTGGTCGGGAAGCGGGAGCGATCGCTCGATTGCTGACCACGTAAATAATACTTAGTTGCGAAAAGCTGGCCAGATTTTTTAGTCTTTTTGAGAACATTTTAAAAAGCAAAAAAAAAAAAAGCGACGAAGATTAATTGGACCGATGAGAGACAGTTACAAAAAAAAAAATAGGCAAATAAAATATCTTTAAACGCAAAAAAATTTAAAGCTAAATAAATTACATTTAAAACAAATATTTTCGAAACATCGCTCTTTTATAATTTTTTTATAAAATTAAGCGATGTTTTTTATATAAAGTAACAACTTACGATTGTTTAAAAGGGAAACAAATACTCTTTATTTATCTAAGTTTGCAAGTTTTAGTTTTACTTAAGCTTAATTTATTTTATAAATAAAAAAGTTAATTTTTTTAATACCTACTTTATGTTTCGCGTAGTTTGAAAAGTTTAACATATTTTAAACGATTCTTCTTAGTAAGATTAACAAATGAAATAATTAAATCATTGAATTACTATAGGAATTAAATTACCAAGATAGAAATCAACTAAAAAGGTTAAAAATACTTAATGACCAGGAAGCGAAACTGCTTCACAATATCACTGATGATGTTTAGTGAGTGGGCTTTTTAATTTTAATTAGTATTTAAAGCAGAAAAAAGTATAACGAGTTTTAAGAATGGCAAGTTAAGCAAAAATTATTAGAGTTAGTAAACTAATATCTAGAAACTTTTCTTTATATCTAATTATTTGCAATATATATTTGTGTTCTGTCGTGACCTCAGGCGCAATGCTTGTTCATCCGCGAGTTACTTTGTATGCGTTGTTTGTATTTAGTAACCAGAAACTTCTTATGTTTGTTACATAATTAGTTTTGTTAACTTTAACGAATATAACTTCATTGAAAACGCAATTATTTTTGTAAGTTATTGTTTAAATCATAAAAATTGCTTTAAAAGGTACATTACGATGAAAAACAAATAAACAAAATTACATTTACATAAAGAATACAATCTCTTTTAAAATAAAAAATAAGAATATACTAATAAAATCTATGATTTATAATAAACTTTTAAAATTTTAACAATTTAATCAATATATATTTAAAACATTTATTTTTGTAACAATTGTAAACAATTAATATATATTCTTAAAACGATTTATGCTAGAAATCTGAAAACGTAACAAATCGTGAATAAAACAATTTCTAAAACATTTTAACAGAATACTCTAGAACTTTATTTCGCTTGATCAGCGTATTTTTTGAACCAATAGAATTAGTTTGTTCATTAATTTGGCGGGTTTTTAGTGTTCGCAAATATTCTTTTTATTCTTTCGCACAAAGATGTTTTGAGAACATTCAAGTTTTTTATGTTTCCATGTATGTCCGTAAAACAAAAATTTTTTGCTTCATACATTAACTTAAATGTTCTCAAAACGACTAAAAAACCTGGCCAGTTTTACGCAACTAAATATAATTTCCGTGGTCAGTATTTGAGAGCAATCGCTCCCGCTTCCGGACCAAGCCTGATATATATATATATATATATATGCGATTTTTAATTTAATTGATTGCATAATTACAATTAAATTGCCACAAAATTTCCTGAGTACTTTAATGCAACCTAATAAAAGCAATCATTGAAAAAAATATTCAGATTAAAGTTTAAGGCAAAATGAGTACAGAAGCTATCAAAAAATAATACAGAAGCAAAAAATTCATTCTTGAAGCTATCAAATAATAATTACAAACCTTTTTATCATGCAACTATAATTTCTAATAAAGAAGTTATTTACTAAAAAAAACAATAATGAATGTCGACTTGCGTATCTTTATTTATTAACGAACGTCTAATTTAAGAGATTTATGTCAAACAAATTTTAAATAATTTTTATTCTAGTTAATAAGTTATCAAATATATCAAAGATGCTTGGTAAATTTATTCAATTGTTATTTTTCAAAAACTTTTATTTTTCACATTTGCAAAGCGCGCGTAAATTAGTGATAAACGCACAATAAAAAAAACTTTTAAAAGTGTTTTTAATATGCAAACAAACATTATTTCAGTTTATGGAAAATAAGAAAAAAAAAAAAAACATGCACAATTTTATTATAATGTAATCATTTGCTTTAAACTTTTAATGTAATTGCTAAAAACAGAAAAGAAACTAAGCTTAAACATTATGATCGCATTCTTCAATAAAAGAAATCAAATTGTTTTAGGACAGTTTTTTTTGAAGTTTTTGCAAAAGCATCTATTTTAAGTAAAATTATCATACTTTTTTGAGCGCATGCGAAAACCATGCTTAAAACATAATTACTTCTTTCTATTTATTTTACTTAAAAGTGACACTATTGAAAAAAGTAATTATGTTTTGTCATTTTTTTAAAAAAGTCTCTGTAATTAATTGTTTTTCATTTTAAATATGTGTTTTTTGTAATAAATAAAAAACTATTGATTGCAAAATTATTTTGAAAAAATTGCTGAAGTAACGTGTTTGTTTTGAAAAATCTTAATCAAACGGCAACATTTGCATAAACAAAATTAAAGAAACGTGATGTTTGTTTTTCTGTCTGTCTTAAAGAAATGCGCACACATTTGTCGATTTGTTGCACCCTGTATCCTAATAAACTTTTTAATAAAATTTTAAATTTGCACCACAAAATTTTATCAAATTTCATGACCTTTTCCCTCACTATGGATCCGCCCTTGTATTAGTGTATTTATTCATGGGAAGGAATGATAAAGATTATTAGAGCTGTGATTTTTTCACTTTTGCTTCCAATTAAGTTTAAATTAATTAAAATATGATTTGATTTTTTTTCTGGTTTTTCTTTTATTTATTTTATCATTCTTTAAATATTTTACTTTATTCATTTTATCATTCTTTAAATATTTTACTTTTTAAGGTTAATTTTTGTTATATATATTATTTTAAGGATTTTATTCTCTTTTCAGTTTATGGATTGTTTATTTTAATTTGCTTTGTTTTTTTTTAGCTCAATTTTTAAATGAACTAATTATCAAAACTTGAAATGAGCCGTGGTCAAGTTGTTAAAACAAAGAACTATAAAAGTTTTGATAAAAGTAAACACAAGCTCGTAAATTTCATCTTTCACATTTATTGCAAGTATTTTTATAATTAATAATAATTTTATATATAAATAAATCACATAGCGAAATAAAGTTACAAATACAAAGTCTGAAGAAAAACAACAACAAATGTTGTTTAATTACAAAAGAATATTGATCGTAACTGATTGCATGCTATTGTGACAATGAAGAATATCAATAATTATTTTTACATTCATAGCCATAAAACGTTAATTTCATACAAATATTTAAAATTGTTTTTACATTTTAAATTCAAGCAAGCAGTGAATTTAGTTTTCTTATTTTTAAAGTTTTTAGTACCAATTTGTTGTAATAAAAAAACCATTCTTGTTATTAAACGTATTTAATTTACGCTTTAAAAAAGCAAGCAGTAAAGTATATATCAAAATTTTATCTGACATAGACGGCTTCTCAATATTTTTGTTGAGCAAGCACATGTACTACTTGAAGTAGAGTTTGCAGTAAGACAATAATAACTATTTTTGCAATTGACTTTTCAGCCAAAAAAGGCGAAATTTTCAAAGAAATAGTATTTGTGCATGTTAAACCAAACAAGTTTGTTATTTTTTAGATTGTATTCTATTTCTTGCTGACTTTTTTTATATAATATTTGCTGTTCTTGGAACGCATTGCGAAAAACTATTTTCAAATTTTGAGTTTATTAACTTTAAAAACAAGTTGCTGAGAAAATCCCTTAAATCACTATTCTCAAGAAGTTTTTTCCAAGAGACATTTTTGCAGTAATGCAATCGCGTAGTTTATACCAATAACGGCGATTTTATTTCAAGTTTTACACAATAATTAAATTTGAATTTTTTATGCTATTTTTCTATTAGTTTTTAATAATAATTAATTTTCAATAATTTTTAGAATTATTATTTAACTTTAAATAGGCGAACTATATTTGGAGAACTGGATTTTTTCACCTTTAATTTGGGAATTTTAATTTTATGAGCGTTTAGGAATACTGCATTTGATGGGACCCCACAGGGCTAGTTTACACCCTGATATATATATATATATATATATATATATATATATATATATATATATATATATATATATATATATATATATATATATATATATATATATTTAACACTATTTTGTGTTGGTGGGGGTTTTGATTAATATAAGTATTCATTAAGATAACAACTTATTTTTATATCTTTGGCTTTGTATTTAACAAAAAACATAAATTTAATCTCTTTTAGCTAAATGTAATTCAAAAATAAAATAAACATAGTTCATAGTTCAAAAAAAAAAAGAGATATATTCTTACAACAATGGGTCAGGAGTTTGGCATGTAGATCAGGTTCAAATACATTTACAATGCATTTCATTATTAAAAGAATTGACTTAAATATGACAACAGAAAATATGATAACACTATTTCATATAAGCAAGGATAAGAAATTTATAGATAGAGAACAGAATTACGAGCAAGAAAATGGTGAACATGATAAAGAGAGGTAATCTTGGCAGTTGCTAACTTTGTAATAAATTAGAAATATGACTTCCATGAGAGGTCAGTAGTGAAAAATATACAGAGAAGATATAAAGATCATTATTAAATGATCTGTAATGTAAAACAGTTTGACAAAACTAGAACTTTGTTTAATTGACTTTAAAAATATTTCTTTACTTCACTTATCGCATCAATAAACACATATTCTTGAGTATTTTGCAT